AAGCTAAAAGCAGCAGAACACTAGCTAAAAGCTGAAGAACATTAGCTAAAAGCTGAAGAACATTAGCTATAAACAGCAGAACATAAGCTAAAAGCAGCAGAACACAAGCTAAAACTATTTTAATGCTCTTCAAGATAATTAAAAAGTGGCTGAAGAGTTGTGTTTGTGATTTTTGTGTCCGTCAGAGTTGGACGTGTCGGACTCTGTGGACCCAGAGACCTGTCTGAGCTGCTGTCTGTCCATCAGACTGTCTGAGCTGCTGGCTGTCAACGTGGGTCTTTTTGACCAGTACTTCAGGGTTGTAGGTCCGTGGGTTCACATGCTCCCACTGTTTGGTTCTGTCAGAGTCCAAACCCCGTATTTACTGCGCGTTTGCTCGCAGGGCGCTCGGCGGACCACATCGTGTGCTGCCTCAGCAGGGACAGTTACGGGACGAGCGTCTTCCTGCAGGAGCTGATGGCAGCTCTCAGTCTTCAGCAGCAGCTTCCTCCTCCAGAACCGTCGGATCAGGACTTCTACTCCCAGTTCACCAACACAAGCACAGGTATCCAGGTGTTCTTCATCGCCACGGGCAGGAGACAGAACTCATGATGAAATCAGTCCAGGTTGTTTCAGGTGTGTCTCCCCCTGCAGGTAAGATGCAGAACTACGAGCTGATCCACAGCAGCAAGGTGAAGTTTATTTATCCCAGTGAGGAGGAGATGGGGGACCTGACCTTCATCGTGGCAGAGAGGAAGACGTCGGCTGCTTCTGCTTCCTTTTCCTCTTCCACTTCCTCTTCCTCTTCCTTGTGCTCCTTTAACGTCCTGCTCTACCTGCTGGTGTTTCAGGTAAAAACTTCCTCTGTTTTACTTAAACTTCTGTCAGACTTTATGAAACTTCGGCCTCATTTGATTTAAAACATCTTAAACAGTTTATTGATACGGTGACAAACTTACGTCAAATTGTTTTGTAATTGTGGCAGTTTTGTTAGCTCAAGTAGAGGAAAGGGGGCGGGGTGCTGGGAGCCACGAGCTCCGGCTCTGTCAAAGGAAAATGTTAGTCTGTGGCAGGACGCTACTGAGAAACAGCAGGAAGTCTTTCAAAATAAAATATAAAAACATAAATTTTGAAAAAGATGTATAAAAAAATGCTCCTGCATATAAACTGTGGGGTACAGAGTGTGAGACATTAGTCGCAGCTTACAAAACGACAATTACGGTAAATGACTGTTAATGCTCAACAAGCTGCATAAAGTGAATTACCGATTAATGAATGTGCACAAAAACAAGTGAACATGTCCAAGTAAAAATGTATAATTTAAAGAAATTATAATAATAATTTAATTCTTCTGAAATTTAACAAGCGGTTTGTGTCCAGACCTGACTTGATTTGGGTCCAGATCTGGACCTCAGTCCTCCATATGAGAACCCTGCTTGCATCAGTTGTTTTCTACAGACAAACAAAACCTGCTGTAAAAATGTTTTATTCATATTTTCCACTTTTAACGAGTCTTTGAAAACTACTTGAGCCTAAAACTGCTCTCGCTCAAGGCGGACACCTTCTCCTCTCCCTCCCCTGTTCTCCTCTTCCTCCTGCTCTTGCTCTGTGTGTGTGTCAGAGCTCCTGGTACACATCTTCCAAACAAAAAAAATACCATTATGGATTTGGTGAGCTGGACTTTCAACATAATCGACAATCTTTTCAACAAAATGACAGGGTCCTGGAGAACCCTCATGTCCTGGCGAGACTCACGCTGCAGGTGGGGAGTTTGGCAGCTGATGTGTCTTTCAGTTTTGTCTCAGGAGGACGCCAAAGACGTTTGTATGATTGGATTCATGATAGCAGGGTTTCTGCTTTTGGGCATCGGTGGGTCCCTGTGTTATGAACTTTTGAAGAAGACATCGACAGCAGTTTCGGCCATGACAAAACTCTCGAGTCTGTGTGAAGGTTTGGTTTGTACTACGAGTACTCAAAATCAGCTGATTTACGAGCTAAACCGTAAGATGGAAGTTATTTGTGAGAATCGCAGGCCACCTGCGGCTTCTAGGACTCGGCAGCATGTTGGGGTCGACCTTGAAGAATGCTCATAGCACGGATCAGTGGAATGCCCATTAATCTGATCATTTTGGATCTTGAAAGTCCATCAGGACTCGAGGCTGACAAGAAAAAACAGTGTGCCTGAAGAAAATCAACAGTTGTGGCTTATCTGAATCTGACTCCCCCGTTTGGTCTTGTATGCGGACTGACTATCAAATTTCTGCTGGGACATTGGTCAAGGAAAACGCTTTGTGTATCACAAACCCTCCCAAGGACTTCTGTGCAGGCTTATCAGAACTGCTGGCTGAACATCATCATCATCAGGACTATGGCCTATCTGGAAGTGCTTCATAGACAAATCTCAACGTCTTGATGTCAAATATGTAATGTCTATAAATGTGCTCCTGGTAGAGTTTTTTTATGTCTTAAATCGTGTCCTGATAGGACAAGATGTGAAGACATCTTTTTTTGTAATCACTATCCATCCTCATGGCCTTTTACCTTTTTCTATCTAAAAAAGTATTCTGGTAAAGGATAAGAGGCTGCGCTCATGTAGCAGCAGCAACGTGCACTCCGCCCATCTTTCAGACGACCGTACAAACATAATCTCACTCTATACCGGTACAATGATAATAAATCTTAATCTGAATATTCATGTCAGATTTTATATTTCTGGGATTTTAAGTCTGAAATTTCTGCAGACATTTTTTTCAGAAGTTGGATTTGTTGCTGCAGCTTCAGAACGTTGCTGAAAGGTTTGTTTGTTTGTTTGTTTGTTTGTTTGTTATCCTCCAGGTGCAGACGCCCAGCCAAAGTTCTGCTCTTTCAGACCCGTCCTCCTCTGGTTCTGGCTCCGGTTCGTCTCCGGTTCTTCAGCCCCGGACTCTGATCCTCACCAGCACCGACATGTTCCTGCTGGACGAGGACTACGTCAGCTACCCTCTGCCGGACTTCGCTAAGGAGCCTCCGTCCAGGTGAGCCCACCGGACCTCCTGCTGCAGCAGAGCCCGCAGAACGATCCACAGAAGAAGCCGAGAGGAAGGAAGCTCGGTTCCTTGGTCCTGCAGACAGTCTGCGGTCGGTTTAATCACACGACGAGAGAAGACGGCTGCAGGAAAAGAGGAAGAAGAGGAAACTGAGTCGTAGACGAAATACTGGTTTTAAAAAACCAGCTGAGGTTCCCTCGGTCGTGTTTTTATTTTTCAGATCACGAAGATCAGCTGGCTGGAGGTCAAGTTTTAAAAATCTGACCACCAGGTTTATAACCAGGTTTAAGTATTCACTTCATCAGCTCCACCTGTTCAGCTCCTCGTTAACACAAACATCTAATCGGATCAGAACCCGCCGAGGTTCGAACCTTCGAATGAGGAAGAAGGATCGAGTCCGTCTGAGCGCGTCGTGGTTTGAGTGTTCCAGAACCTGCTGATAAACGTCTGCGGGGTTCAAAGAGGACGGCCCAGAAAAGAGGAAACATGAAACGTTTCCAGCGCCTGGTCGAACCGACGCCACAAAGGACTGAAGCGGTTCTGCAAGAAGGAGTCCGACCCGGTACCAGCAGGTTGAACCGAAAACAGTGGCCGAGCGTTTTTAATTCCTGACAATGTTCCAGATGAAAAGGGTTTATACTTGTTTATTTTAAACATTACATCATCTGCCAATGAAAGGCGAAGTTCTCATCCTGTGTGTCTGTTAGCAAAATATCTCATAAACCAAAGGAGGGATTTTAATGAAACTCCTAAAAAATGATCATTGGATGAACGTCTATGACTGATTAACTTTTAGAGTCACTCTAAATGAAAGATGGCTGCCACACCAACACGTGCACACACAGAAATGGCTATAAATCAGTCAGGAGTGCAACTTGTGAGCTGAAGTTTGGTGTGGTAGTAGCTGAGAGTCGTTCTCACTTGTGACAAAAGTTTAAAACTTTAAAACTTCATCATTCTCATCGTGATCTTGGTTGAAAGCTCTTGCATGGCGGGCGATATGCATTCTCTGAAGAATGTGAGGGTTTTTAAAAAACAACTGAGGATGTGTTTAATCCCCGAGTTTGTCGCTGATGTCGAACTTTATTTTTAACGTCCGAGTGAAACGGTCTCTCGTTTTGTTTTGAATCTTGTTTGTTTTTTTTAAAAACAGTTTTCATTTCGTGCAGATTGTTTTAGATAAAAACATGTTGAATATTTTTAATGTATAATTTAAATTAATCTGCTTTTCTCGCTGTTTTCCCGCTGCAGGGAGCGTTACCAGCTCCGCGAGGCTCGGAGGATCCGGGACCTGGACCGGGTCCTGCTGGGGTACCAGACGTACCCTCAGGCTCTCACTCTGGTGTTCGACGACCTGCCGGGCCCCGACCTGCTCTGCCACCTCACCGTGGACCATTTTGCCTCCGGCGGGGAGGAGGTGCGGCCCAGAGGGGGCGTGGCCAGCCGAGGCGCCGAGGGGGAGGTGCAGTGGTGCGTTTTCGTCCCGGGAGCCGACAGCAGGGAGAGGCTGATCTCTCTCCTCGCCCGGCAGTGGGAGGCGCTGTGCAGCCGGGAGCTTCCTGTGGAGCTCACCGGCTGATTGGCTGAGGAAGACGATGGGCGGAGCCTCTATGTGTTTTGGCCTAAATACGACATTTAGGTTTTATTTTTCACAAAAATCACCAAAAGGGAGTAAAAGGACGCCTCGCTGTCTCACGAGTTTAACTCTCCTTCGCAGAGCAAAGAACCTTCATGACCTCAACGTCTCTCAGATTAAACTTTATTTATTTCACGCCGCCCGTAAACAAGAAGGGCTTTAAAAAAATTAACTTTCAGGCTTTTTGCTTCCTGGTGTGGAGCCAAAGAGACCGGACTGTGGAGTTAACCACGTGCTGAAGGAGGTGTGATTATTTACAGGAGGTGTTGTGATTATTTACGTCTCTGATTGTTGACGTTTATTTCCTGAAACAACTCCTCTGGAAAACGTGTTGGTCCAGTAAAGATCTCACCAACTCTGGAAAAGACTCAAACCAGTTTTTGTGGAACTAATGGTTTTGATCACGTGCTGCCGTGAACGGGGAGCCGGCTTAGACCAACTGTCAGCAAAATATCTTCTGGATCACAGGAGTGAATTTCAATGACTCAGAAAGTAATCATTGGATGAACGTCAACAACAAATGTTCAGCCATAGCAAACAGAAATGACTCCAACTCACTTGATTTGATAAAAACGGAGGTAAAATTAGGTGTGGTAGTAGCTGAGAGTCATCTCCACCGCAAGACAGTGGGCGATATGCAACCCTTCGAGAAACGCTACTTTGATTGAACTTTTTGTAAAATGTAACTTATGTGTGCAATAACGAAAACGACGACAGATAAACGGGACCAATTCAGAGGTGGAGCTTAACAAACGTTTGAGCTTGAGGCGGAGCTTGAGGCAGAGCTTGAGGCGGAGCTTGAGGCAGAGCTTGAGGCGGAGCTCCGGCGATCCTTGCCGCTCTGGATGTTTTGAAATCTGCGTTTTAATTAAGACGCTGTAAAAGCCACGCCACGAGGTGCTGAGAAGATCCACCTCAACGACTTTAAAATGCAGAGACAGAACAATTGGTGAAGCTAATTTTATTCCTTTGACGTTGTTTAGTTTCCTCTCAGATCAAATTTTGATGTTTTTTATCAGCTTAAAGGCTCTCGCTGCAACAACTTAAAAGATTATCCTGAACTAAATCAAATGGTGCCGTTTCTACTCAAGTTGTTTTCCAGTGATATGGATGTAGAGTTCTGAAATGCGGGTACGCGCTCAATGTAAACAAAGCCCCTTCATTTTCTTATTTGATCAAAAAATCTGAGCGTAAATACGAAGAAACGCATCGAAATGGTTCGGATGTCGTTGATCTGTTTTCTGTCACTTTGGCTGTTTTTGTATGAAACTAAACACGTTGGGAGTTTGACGTTTTAATTTAGGACGCTCTAACCATCAGATGAAGTTTGTTTTTCCACGGGTTTTCGTGACTTTACCTTAAAATGAGACGGACGCCGGAAAACAAATTCTGTCAAATCTGTGTGTGGATGGAAGGTGAGGCAGAAAGTTTTGTGGGCGGGGCGTTACTTTGACTTCAGCGGTTTTGTTTTCTGTAAAAATGTTTCTGGGGCAGGAGTTGGTTTGTTGTTGACGAGCAGCAGGAGGCGCTGCAGCAGGATTTCATCTCTTTAATGTCCAACAGAAACATTCCTGAGAATTTTATTTATCCGTTTTCTTTTAAAGACCACGAGATTTGTGTTGTATTTTCAAAAATACCAGCTGCTTCGCCCATCACAGGTTCTTGAAGACCTCTTGATTTAACTCCAAAGCTGTTATTTTATTGTTTGCTTTAAAAACAGAAGTATCTTCAACATATTTTTCATAAATTTCAATCCGACTCTGAAAACTGTCAGTTTTTTTTATAAATCCGTGCAGAAACATTTGAAGGCTGCTTGTTTTATTTTATGTCTTTAACGTTATTTAACAGATGAAAGCGTATCAATAAACCGTTTGGAGACTTTATTCTTATTGAATAAATGCAACGGATGAAAGTTTTCCATCTTGAAACTGGTTTTTGATTTCCAACACGAACTCTTGGTATTATTTTTTATATTTCTCGTTATTTTCAGTGTTCTGACGGTTGTGGAAAGGGGAATATGCATTTGAATTAAAATTGAAATTGAAAGTTTCCCCGGTGCAGAAACGAGTTGTTTTGTCTCTTTCTGGTTGTTTGGTTCTCGAGGGATCAGCAGGATTTGACCACAGTTTGAGCACCTTTCAGCTGACGCGGCAAACCACCAGAACCGGCCTCCGAGGGTTCCAGACAGATTACAAAATTAAACTTAAAGATGTAATTTCTACACATTTATTTGACCTGATAAACTTAAAAGACGTGTACAGATAATTGCTGCCAGGAGCTGAAGGGTGGTTATCATTTTGTGTGTTCCTTGGGCTTCATGATGCTGATCTATAACATTCTGTACCAAGGCTTTTGGAGCCGCTGGATTTATCCTGAGGTTAAATTACAGAAACTACAGTTTCTACAAACACAGAGAGACGTCACTGAAATCTGCTGAAGAAGCTGAAACCAAGTTAAAACAAGCAGAACAGAAGCTAAAAGTAGCTACATTTAGCACAACAGAGGCTAAAATCATCAAAACAGTAGCCTAAATTAGCAAAACACATACTGAAACTAACTTGACAAACTGTAAAAGAAATTGCTGAACTTTTGTGAAAAGAAGCAGAACGGTAGCTAAAAATGTAAAAAGAGCAGAACCGTAGGTACTTTTCGGTGTAACTGGAACCCTGAGTACACAATTTCGTTCCACTTCATGTACCATGTGATGGCAATGGCAATAAAGAAACGTGAACTTGAATTTGAACTTGTAAAAGGCGCTGACCAATAGCTAAAAGGAGAAGCCCAGTAGCTAAAAGGGACCAAACCGTAGGTAAAATAGCAGAACAGTAGCTAAAATAAGCCAAACCGTAGCTAAAAGGAGAAACCTGGTAGCTCAAAGGAGCCAAAAGGTAGGTAAAAAGAGCAGAACCGTAGATAAACAGAGCTGAACATTAGCTGAAATGAGCCAAACTAGCTAAAAGGAGCCGAATAGTAGGTAAAATGATCGGACAGTAGCTAAAACAAGCCTAGCATAGCTAAAAGGAGTCACACAGTAGGTAAAAAGAACAAAACGGTAACTTAAAGGAGCAGAACCATATAGCTAAAAGCTGTAAATTATTAACTATAAGCTAAAAGTGGCATAACAGCCATTTCAAGCCAGATTCAAATGTTTTAAAGAAGTTTAAGAGTATGTGTTTCAATGGTAAATTTTATCTTGAATAAAGCTAAATATTTTTTAAAAGTACAAAAGTTACAAAAAACATCAGTAACGCTCATCTCCTGAATGAGCCGAACGTTTTGATATAAGATTGAATCAAGTGGAGCGAAGTGCTCAGAGTAGATTACAAAAACCGTACGGAAGAAACCAGTCGATCTCATCGGTCGCTCTGGATTTTAGTTTTGGGGCTGAGGAGGGGCTGAAAACGAACGCAGGCCACACTTTACACCAGGGTTATTCAAGTGGCGGCCCCGGGGCCACAGCCGGTCCGTGGGTGAGCTCAGACCGGACCACAGAGGAAGTCATGATTTTTGACAACAGTCCAAGGAGTTCACTTAAAATGAAAAAAATATTTAAATCCTAATATTAAATTCATGTAATGAGAGTAACTAGATAACAGTAATGGGATAAACTTATTTTTGTTTTCATACATTGCATTGATTGATTGTAAATCAGTTTGTTTAATGTAATTTGTTGTAAAGTTAAGCGTTTGATTTTGGCACCACAGAGAAGCTTTTAAACTTCATCCACGCCATAATTCACAGCTCGGCTGTTTCTAAACTCTTTATTGATCTTGCACGAGTTCTGACCTACAACATATTTAAATTATTGTGTTTATAAGCACCAAACCGACGTTTAAAGTCATTTAAAAATGAATTGTTCCTGTCAGCAGAACACGCTGTCACCGTTCAACTCCTTCAACTTCCTGCGTTTCCTGTCTGTCAGCGCCGCTCATCATGAGTTTCCTCTTTGACGCCCAGAAACTCAGATACTGTACCAGGAAGTGCCGGATCAGCTAAAACCAGCGGCTTGACCCTGAGCAGGGTTCTGTTGGTTCCAACCGACCGGACGGCTGCTGGGAAAGAGTCTCTGTCCGTGTTTGTTTTCTTACCAAGAACAATCTGCAGTGAGAGGCAGTTTGAGTCGGTGGCGCCGAAAGGTTGAAGGAACAAAGACGGTGACATGACGAAGCGTTTTCAACGAACAAACAGGGTCGACTGGCGGTTCTCTCTGCTGGACGCGGGCCGGCTTCACGTTCTGTCACCAATGTGGACCGGTTCAACCAACGTTTAGCTCCAAAGATCTGAACCAAAGATCAAAATAAGACCATTTTAGTTGTTGATTCAATTCAATTCAGATTATTTATAAAGCGTCAAATCACATCAAAGTTGTCTCAGGGACTTTACAGGAACATTCACATAAAAACCAATTAGTAAAGTTCTCTATCTAAGGAATCCAGCAGACAAGTTATGGGGAATTAAATAAATGTTGCAAAAAATAAAATAAATAGATTTACAAACCAGAGTTTAAAGTTGAATCTGTTTCAACCTTCAATAACTGATTGAGTTACCTCAGCTGGTTCAGTTAATATCAGACCAGCTAGAACCTAAAACTGTTGAATTACCGGGATAACCCGCCTGATAAACCATAAAACACAAACCGGTTGAAAACTTCTGTTGGAACACGAGCTGACAGATTTCAGCACCTTCTGACGCGATATGTCGTTGTGTAAAGTCAGCAGAGAGAGGTGGTGTTCCTCGTCAATCCTGCTCCTTCTCGTTTATTTATTTATTTACTCTCAGACTCGAGGCGCTGATGTTCAGATCCTGACGGGAACTCGGGTCAGAAAACATCCTCAACCTTTTCCTGACACTAACGAGTCAGCAGTCTCTGCTCGTTAATCCTCCGCATCTGTAACTTATACCGTGCTCTTAACAGGACAGGCAGACAGAAAAGCACACTAGAATGTAGGCCTCAGACACGCAGACCGTGTGAATATGAGTCGGATCAAAGAACTTCTTGACCCACGAGCAGCAGGAGGTTCTGATGGTACCACAGGTTCTGTTTGATGGTTCTACAGGGTTTTATACTTAAAAAGAGTTTTCACTTCCTGTTTGTTTCTGCTCAGTGGAAGTCGGAGGGAGTTTTGGTGCTGACCTCTGACCTCTGAGAGGAACCCATCAGTCTTCCAGAAGAGACACTCTGAGGGGACAGAAAGACTGAAGACTGGACAAACTGGAGAAGAAGAGCGAAGACTGTGGAAAGTTCAGATGGCTCCACAGTTCGAGAGACCTAAAACCAGTGGTGAGCACAGCTAGCCAACAGTTAGCATTGCTAATCCATAATCATCTAACTAAACATTAGCGGACGCTAACTGCTAACTGTCAGCCTGCGTCACACGTCTTCGTCTCCTTCCAGTTGAAGACAGGTGGGACAAACACAAACATGTTGTTAGTTTGATTCTGTTGGTTTGGTTTGAAGGTGGGCGGAGTCATTTGTGGCAATAAAAACCAGAGGGACACACAATGCTAAAGAAGCTGCACGCTACAAGGTGCATGACGCACGCGTGCAGCACTGCATGGTGCGGGTTCTTTTGCACATCGGACAGGAACAAACGTGAATTTTGTTTGCAGGTAGCGGAACCTAATTTAGCGGAAGCTAACCGGTCCGCTAACGGTTTCCAAAGTTTGCAAAAAAATGCTACACGACTACTAGCTGTTAGTGGAACCGTGCCAACGGCTGCCTAAAACTAGCCAGACAAAATACATTTTCTACTAAATGAGCACGGAACGATTTGGCTGAAATTTATTAAAAGAGCTGAAACTGAGTTTTAAAATTAAAACAAGGAAAACAGAAGCTGAAATAATCGAAACACCGGCTAAAAGCTTAAAAACTGCCAATCGGTAGCTAAAATTAGCTAAGTTTAGCAAAACGGTGAGTTTAGCATCTGTAGCAGAATGATTTAATATTAAAATGAGCTAAAAGTGATTGAAGACGACAGCAATAGAGCGAGCATGCCTAAACAGATTTCAGAGATTAGTTAAAGAGTCTCAACGTATTTCAACAGGGAATTTTATTTTAAATTAAGTTAAATGTTTGACAAAAGTGAACAAATCTCAATAATAATAATAATAATAATAATGTCATCACAATGTCAGCACTGTATGTTTCCATACAATGGCGAAATTAGTCTCTGCATTTAACCCATCCACCACCAGGTGGTGCAGTGGGCAGCTATTGAAAGCGCCCGGGGGACATTTTGGGGATTAGACGTGCTGCCCAGAGACGCCACGTGATGTGCAGTGACTGGGGATCGAACCTGGGACTCTCGGGTCCCAAGCCGGCTGCCCTGCCTCTACACCATCTCGGCCCCATATGAGCTGAACGTTTTGATAAATCCATCCGTCATCTTCCTCTCGTTCTGGACTCAGGTCTCGGGGGCAGCATCTTGAGCGGGGAGGCCCAGACATCTCTCCACAGCCTCTTCCAGCTCTTCTGGGAGAACTCCACGGTTTTGATAAATAAACAGCCAAATTAGCTCAAAACAAGCAGAAGTTATTGGATTAAAAAAACAACATTAAAAACAAAGAAAATGTGACTCAGCATTAAAGGTAATGTAAAGCTGTTTATGCATCGTCACCATTAATTAGTCAAAATAAATGTCAAATATTGTGATTTTGAATTCACAGACGTTTTTAAAGTTTAAACACAAAAAAGCACCAGAAGAAGCAAATAAAGGATTGTTTAAATCAAAATAAATAACTCACAAACGTGAATGTAAGGAAATAAAATCCACCTGAGTCCGCAGGCAGGTTGGTTCTGCACCTGCAGCCTCCAGGCGAGGTCAAAGGTCACGGCATGGTTTGATTATGTCTGGCTGAAATCAGGAAGGTCTTTAGGGGAAAGCAAACCATCTGGGTGCTCCTGTTTCCGTTTCGCTGCATGAAACTGATGTTTTATTCTGTTTTTCTGATCTTTGAATGACTTGTTGGATACAGTTTGTTGTTCTGAGTAAACACTGGCTGCAGGCACGTGTTTGGTACCGTTGTTCGGGCTGTGGTTGGTATTAAAGTAAACTCAGACGTGCTTAAAGTGTTCAAGCCTTCGTGCAGCGTCTGACTGGACGTTTGCCGCTCACAATGTTCAGAAGCATCTGCAGCAGAACGTTCAGGCCCGTTTCTGCAGCCCACTTATCGCCTGCTTCCTGCCATTGTTCTGCAGCTCGCAGCGTGACCTTTGACCCCCACGTGCGCTCGCACTCTCCCCTCGCCGAGTTAAAACAGGAAACACAGAGTCAGCTTTCAGACGAGTCGAGTCAGCTGACGAGGAAATCCGTGCAAATCTGAACAACGAGGAGCGGAAACTCCAGAAACCTGTAAGGAAAGAAAATTTCTCACAATCTCTCTGATCTGAGGCAGAACTCAGAAATATTTATTTCTACATCGATACGTCTCGATTTGGATCAGCAGATTCTATCAAATGTGTGGAAAACTGAGAAAAGTGAAAGATCTGCGTTAAAACGTGTAAATGATGATGATGGGGTGGAGGCAGGCAGCTGACCTGGGACCAGAAAGTCCCGGGTTCGTTCCGCAGCCATTCCCACATGTCATGGAGTCTCTGAGCAGGACACCTAATCCCCAGTTGCTCCCTGGGTGCTTACAAAGCTGCCCACTGCCCCACCTGGGTGTATCTCAGGTGTGATGGCTGAAATGCAGGGAACTAATTTCACCATATGGGAACATACAATGATGACAACACACAGCACTTAAACAAAGTCAAAGAGAAATGCGCTAAATTTGAAAAGTATTCTTTAAGTCATGTCACCCGCTGCCTCGACCTGCTCAGAGTGTGTGTTAGGGATGACTCTCAGCTACTACCACTCCAGATTTAAGCTCCACATCTGAAATACTGACTGAGTTATGAACGTTTGTGTTGGATCGGGTTGTTGGGCTCAGTTGTGACACGTGTTGCCTTTCGTGGCAGAGTTTGATGAAGAAGGGATTTACGAAATTAGCCTAAAAGAGAGAGAACGGATCAGAAGTAATCATCGTGTTTGAAGGCAGCTGGGACACATCTGGATGTCAGAGAGGAGTAAACACCGTCTGGTGGTAAAAATTAAACTGATCCTGTGAAAGAACCACATGTTGTCTTCAGAAGATTCCTCTTCTGTTTGTTTCAGGTCTCCTCAGGTCCTCCAAAACCTCCAACAACTGGTCTCCTCAGGTAATTCCAAAACCTCCAACAACTGGTCTCCTCAGGTCCAACAACTGGTCTCCTCAGGTCCTCCAAAACCTCCAACAACTGGTCTCCTCAGGTAATTCCAAAACCTCCAACAACTGGTCTCCTCAGGTCCTCCAAAATCTCCAACAACTGGTCTCCTCAGGTCCTCCAAAACCTCTAACAACTGGTCTCCTCAGGTCCAACAACTGGTCTCCTCAGGTCCTCCAAAACCTCCAACAATGGGTCTCCTAAAGTCCTCCAAAACCTCCATCCACTGGTCTCCTCAGGTCCTCTAAAAACCTCCATCATCTGGTCTCCTGGGGTCCTGGAGTCTTACAGTGTGTTGTTCAGAATGGGATCTTCTCAGAGGACACCTGGAGCTGAACATCTTGAAACAGACGTGTTGATGATATAAACTTTAAAATCAGCTGATTTTTATTATGAAATCTTTCAGTTTCTTGTTGCAACGTCTGATTTGTTGAGAAACTTTTGTGTTTTTGAGATTTGCAAACTGTTGTTTTCTTTAAACTTTTTACTTTTTCAGTGCAAGTTTTTAATGGTTGAAGTTTGAGATAAACGGATCAAACTAAATATTATCTTGAGCTGAGACTGAACTTCGCAGCGTTGGAACCTGGAGGAGGAGGAGGAGGAGGAGATGACCTCTGCTGGGAGGTTCCTTCTCTGCCACTCTGCTCTTCTTTCTCGTTGCAGCTCAGAGGAACGCAGGAACTCGGAGGAAACTGGCTGTAATTTGTTGCTTATTTACTCCCATCATGTGAAGGGGGCGTAAAGAATCCTGCTGATAAGACTTTAAAAGCCTGGGTCCACCCTGCTGCCTGTGAAAACATCTGAACTTGAGTTGTTTCAGTTTTTGCCAGAAGGAGCAGGTTATTTTCAGTTTTCTGACACTGGTTCCTGCAGGAATACGTCTCTGGTTTTAGCTTCTCCTGCACAGAGGATGTTGTTTTCTGAGTTTCTTCCTGAGGACAGGAGCAGTTAGACGTTAACGACCGGCTGAAGGCTGATGTTCCAGTTTCCCTCTGGATGAGCCATGATTCTCTTTCTGCTGCTGAATCTCTGCGTCCAGACTTCAGGACAGGAGCAGGTACGTTTCAGATCCAGACCTAGACCCAGCTCTTCAGATCTTCTTGTTGGAGTTGTGAAAGTTGTTTTTCTGCTTGTTTTGTATAATCTGAAGCTGGAAATCAGCTGGAAAGATGAGTGACAGCTTGATCAAAAACAGCAGATAAAATCATTAAACTGACAGGAAGGTCCCATTCACCTCCAGGAGATAACACCTGATACTGATGTTCAGTGTGTCAGTCTGTTAGCAAAATATCTAATAGACAAATACTGATAAAACCCAGACAGGAATCGATGGATGAACGTCTGCAACTGATTACATTTCTGAGCAGACCCAATTAAAACTAAGCAACCTTAGAAACCACATCAATTACTGTAACTCAACCAGTTTTACAGATGTTGACCTAAGATTTATTGTGATAGTAGCTGAGAGTGATCCTCAACAGCTGGACAGGAAGCTTAATGATCTCTTCAGACAACATCTGCAGTGAGAATAGGGAGCAATATGGAGCTGCTGGGGAGAAGAAGACTGCAGAGAAGGTTGGTGTGACAGAGGAGGATGCTGGGAGACGTAGGCAGGTGATCAGCTCTGTACACGTCCTGACAGAAACATCGTTAAAGCAGCAACACTAAAATCAGACTCCAAACAGTTTAAATCTCATGTAACACAAGGTGGGATCTAACTTTCAAACCACTGGTTCCTACATTTCCCACAATGCACTTCAGGTTCATGTCCTGGAAACTGCAAGCTGCGAGTGAACTTTGAATAAAGTTTGTTCAAACTGGAGATTTTCTGTTCCTCAAAGGCTCCACATTGATGTGATGTTTACCGAATCCCCAGAAAAACATCGTTATTCAAATAATTATCTGTCCTGAGCTGTAAGATGTTCTGTAAGAGGCCTGAAATACAGGAATGGGAAAATTAAATGGAGCTTTATTTTTTGTATTGAAATAAATTTAAAAAACAGTTGAATTAATGAGTTTTATTTAAATTGACATTTTCCATCTTAAAAAAGGAAGAAGCAGGCAAAGATAATGGATGGATGGATGTATGGATGGATGGATAGATGTATGTATGTATGTATGGATGGATAGATGGATGGATGGATAGATAAATGGATGGATGGATGGATAGATGTATGTATG